CCCCCCCCTTTTTTTCTTTTCTTTTTAAATAAGATGTGGAATGATATGCTGTCTTACTAATTAAGTGGTTATAGTCCTGGTGTACTTGCAATAATTTTGAAGTCCTGATTCCACTTTGCAGGATGCAAGCCTGATGGTTTTTTGATTAATGAATTGTCTGGTCATAACTTCTTAAAATGGGCTGTAAGTAATGTCTGTGTGAAGCATGGCATGCAGGAATGTATTGCATAAGTAATGTATCTTAAAGGCATCTTGTTATTATTTTGGTTTCATTATTGAACTTTTTCTCATTTTTTGGATCAAATAGGATTTCTACGTGTAGTCTGAGCATGATGACACTGTCTTTTGCTACTGTTTATTTTAGCTGTGTTGGTAAAGAACAGGCAACCTTCTTTTTCATCTCTGTGATGAGTGGGCCAAATTCATCTGTATTGAAGTTACACGAGGCTGAATTGGGCTCTGCTTTTTCATAGAAGTGTGCTGATGAATGCAGACAGCATTTTTGTTTATTTGTGTTCCAAAAGAAAGCATGGCTTGCGCAGCATTTCATATAGCAGAAATCACATGTAGCCACTTGTCTTTGTGTGTGTGTGTGTGTGTGCTTAAAATGGCTGTGAACAACATATAAGCAAATCAGGACCCAGTGCCAACCAATATGTGGATTGAATTTTTTTTTTTTTTTAAATTACTTATCCCCTTCCCAGGTATGAATTGAATTCTCCATATGCCTGTCTCAAGCACTTTTTGGGTCAAAGACGTTTTCATATATTGTTTTTCCTTGTCTATATAGGTAAAGAATGACAAGGGCATGGGGATTTGCTTGCAGGGAGTCAGCTAAGAATTCCTCCCATAGAGAGAAGGTCTCTCAGCTGATGTACCTGCTGCCTGTGCTGAGCTCCCAACACCGTTTAGGGAGTAACAGCAGAAGGGATGGAGCGTGTTCCCTTCTCTCCGAATTTCCAGTGATTTATGTTCCTTTCCAGATTGCAGTCATACAGTCTAAATCACAGAACTCCCGAGCCTGTCATGACATTTGCCAGAAGATGATCCACAGAGCTGGGAGTCACTGGGCTAAAGAAATCTTGTCACAGGCAAATTTTAAGGCTTTTGTGCAATGAAAGACGCATTGATAGGAGAAGGTTGGCTGACAGCAAGGGAGGGAAGAGAGTCTTGCTGCCTGACTACAGATTATTTTCTAAGCTTTCTCTGCCTTTTAGTTGGCAGTATATATGGGATAAAGAGCAGTTAATGTAACTTTTAGATGAACTGAACTGCTCTTGGAGTTCATAAGTTCGTATCTATTTCATGATCTGGAGTTTCCACTGAATCAGGCGACGTGCTTACTGAGAATGTGAGGATTCATTAGTGTGAAATCTTGAACCCAAGCAATTGCAGAGGCAGAGGAGAACAGAGCTGGTGTGTGAATTGTCTGCAAATAAATTCACTGAGTGCCATTCCTAGAGCATGCATTTGAGTAATTTTCTAAAAATGTAACATTACTTCATTTTATTGGATAATTACATAGGTCTAAATTGCATTTTATTTCTGACTTCCAGGTTGTTGTGGGAGATAAAGTTGTTCTCATGCCGGTCAATGCAGGGCAGCCTTTACATGCCAGCAGCATTGAACTTCTAGATAACCCTGGCTGCAAAGAGGTGAGTTCAGTGGAGGGAGGAGGGGTAACTGCTGATCTGAGATGTATTATATGTTGTTCTTTACTGGTAACCAGACCCACCATGAGCCCACCAGGGGCTAGATGCCAGTATTAAACATTGGTTCCAGCTTGGCCTCAAAAAACCAAGACGAAATATACTTATTCTCAGCGCAGTTCTGCCTGGCACTGAAAGCTTTGTGAGGTTTGCTTGAGTATCTGAAACTCCCACTGATGTAAGAGTAAGCCCTCTTCCCACAGCTCTTTAGGTTGCCTTTGGTAGGCTGTCAACAGACAGAGTAGCATTTTGCCCACTGAATCTTCTCCAACATCAACATCCTTATTATTAACACTTGAAAGCTTCAGGACCCATGTTAGGAACTGTACAGATAGGTAGCTGAACCATGTCCCCTGACACCCTAGAGGTGGTGTGGTCTTTTAGAAGAACAGAATGTCTCAGAAAGAAAAGAACACCCTTTAAGACTATAATTGTGGTGTTTTCTTCTTTTTTTTTTCCCCCAAAGGTAAATGCTGTCAACTGTAACACAAGCTGGAAAATAACTTTGTTCATGAAATTCAGTAGTTATCGAGATGATGTACTGAAAGGAGTAAGTATGAATTTTTTAATTGTTTTTTGAATCTGAAAAATCATGCCATATTTGACTGTAGAGAAATATTATATGGTGAATAAAAGAAGAAATGATGACTATATGGAGCTGTTGAGGATTCCTCACTACTGTCCTTCAACAGCCAGAATATTTTTCCTTTGTGTTACTGTCTTACTAAGTGAAATTGTCTGGATTGTGCTAGCTTCCAGCCCCTTTCCCTCCCAAAGACAGCTGAGGATCTGTGAGAAAAGATGAAGTTCTGTGATTCTAAGTTCAAGCCCAGAATGATGAGGGCTCTGTACAGAATAGCTGTGACACTTCAGTTTATGTAAAGGTGCTGAACTCGGATATAACAAGCTTACAGAAGGGAGTGAGGCATGAAAGATGACAATATCTGTAATAAGACAAGGTAGCTTTAAATGCTGAGGGATTGCACAGCTTCATGCCTCCAGATCACTCCCTGAGATCATTTACATTTTCATTTTAAAGAAACACACTTCGTTTGTCATTATCATCTGGCTGTTTTTGCAGTAGGTATCAAGGTGCCAGCAGTTTTTGAGGAAGAATTTGAAAGGGAAAATGGTATATCTGTGTAGACCCATTTGGGGATAGTGTTGCAAGCTTTGGGGAGAGGCAGAAGGAAGCAAAAATGATGCCAGCAGAAGCAGAGGGAGGGGGGGGGGGGGGGGGGGGGGGGGAGCATTGGTTTTGGTTGCAGAGTAGAAGAGACGGGATAATACGATGTTGGAAAAATCTGTTCACTTTCCCTAAATGCTAACTGATTAGAAATAAAAAAATCCATTTAGTAAAGTTAGCTAGAATTAAAAATCACCTTTAGGTAAATTTTTGGCCACTATTCATTACGGTGCTCTGAAAGAAGTTCTGTTTTCACAGAAGTGCATGGGTCTCCTGCAAGACTGAATTATTTCATTTGATTTCCAGACTCGGTGCTGAGATTGTATGCTTGGCACCTGCTCCAGCAATAGGAAACTAATAAATATTTTCTTCACGTCAGCTATGTTGACATCACTGGTGCTAGTACAAATATAGAGGATGACTCTAGCCTCTTTGCCTGCCACTTAATAATGCTTCTTTTTCATATTACATTAGGGAGATGTTGTTAGGCTGTTTCATGCAGAGCAAGAGAAATTTCTGACCTGTGATGAATATGAGAAGAAACAACATATTTTCCTTCGTACTACATTACGTCAGTCAGCCACTTCTGCAACAAGTTCTAAAGCACTGTGGGAAATAGAGGTATTGTTTTCTTTTTATAAATATTTTAGGACCTGAAGGCCAGGGTTCAGTAAAAATACTTCACCACAACAGGAGTCATTCGTAGCCTCTTGATATCATCATACACCTCCCCATAACTATTATTGTTTTATGAAGCGGTTTGTGTAGGCTGAACGCTGGAGAGATGCTTTATTGCTCTGTGTGTGTGGAGAGAGGATGTTTTCTTACTATATTTACCTGCACTAAAGAGGTGAAGAGTCAAATTCAGACTTGACGTAAATGGTGTGATTTTAACAAAGCCAATCGAATGACACTCACGTATCCTGAGTTCTGGGTGTTTATATTTGACTTCATGTGCAATATAGAAAACTGAAATTCATGACTGACAAGAAATCTCACAAACGTGATCGAGTCCGTTCTTCTGCAGCAGGGCACATCAACATCTGTTTCAAGTTAGGCTGAATAAAGGTGTTGCCGATTGCGAGTGATTTTGAGATGACTAGCAAATACATTTTTGTTTAACTGAGGGACATTGGAAACTGGTATGTCTCAAACCCTTGCTATTGCAGTAATGTAACTCCTATACCCCAAAGTTCTTATGGGCTGAACAAACTTTGTGCATTTAAAACAGAGCTCCTCACTCAGGCAAACGGTTGATTTTCCTCTGAGTAAGGACTGTATGGAATAGAGTATATTGCACTTTCAGTTATTTGAGATAACTCCTTAAGAGAGACATGCACTGCTAGGTTTGAAGGTAGCAAATGACCTACAGCTCAGTCAAGCAGAGAAAGAAATAATCTGGGATATTTCAAAAGATATGGTGATATTTTATCACTCGAATGAAAATGTATCAGAAGCTCCTAGTGTTGTCAAAAATAGAGCTGGTATAAGTGATGAAACATGTAAGGGGGTCTGAGTTTTGCTTTTAAGTAGTGCCTATGTAAGTGTAGAGCAGCTCCACTTACTTTTTTGAGCTCCAGATTCACATGTCACTTTAAAGCAAAATTTGGCTCATCATGTTTGCAGGGAGTAGATTAATGAAAACATGGAAAGTAATAGGAGGAGTATTTTCTGGCACCTGGCAAGAAATAAATGTAAGTAGTTGTTATCTATGGTGGGCACAGAATTCCTCTCTGTGGTAGATTTTTTGTAATGAATGTAGTTTACATATTTTTAATTGTAATGAGCTGTAAGAAATGTCAGTGATCTAAGTATTATCTTGAAGAGCACGATTAAAACCTGTACTACTTCTTCTTTTAGGTTGTCCATCATGACCCTTGCCGGGGAGGGGCAGGACAGTGGAATAGCTTGTTTAGATTTAAGCATCTGGCAACTGGAAACTACTTAGCTGCAGAGGTAAGAACATCAATGAAACAAGTGGTTGTGTGCTGCCTAACCAAGTACTGCACATGTCCTGCTAATTCAGAAATGCTATAGTAGGTAGGTCCACGGTGTAGGTCTCTGAAAAGATCTCACATCAGGTCTGAATGGGGAGAGCTGGATGTCCATTGCTGTGTCGTGCTGTATTGCTGTATCTGAGGGTTGCAACGAAAATGTTCTGAACTACAGGATGCTCGTAGGTGAGTTCAAGACAACGTACGACCTTAATTTCAGCTGTGCTGTTGAATTCTGAATCTGCTGTTTGTTGTCATGGCAGCCAGGGCAAACACCACTGTTAAATACCCGCCATATTTTCACTGAAAATCCTTGGATTCTTTTATCTCTCTGTTCTTGTTTGCCCTTGATTTTTGGAGTAGTGTTGCGATCAGTCAAATATCCTTCTTTGCTGGCTCAGGCAGCCATATACAGGTTAAAGCTTTTAGAATGGGACTGAATGCAAGGTAATCATTGAGCTTGATCAAAGGAGTCTGTGTGGAGGCACTAGACCAGATACTCTGAACAGCTCCAGGAGTTGTCCTTCTTTTTTTTTTCCCTGCAGGCCCTAGACTTCTTGAAAAAATGTTTCTGTGGCGCTAATTTCAGTGTGTTGATCTCAGCCAGCCAGCATGTGGTCCAAGGCATCTCAGTGTTCTGTAGAAAACTGGGGAAGGACAAACTTGTCATGACCATTGGTGTCATGACAGTGCATTGTGACTATAGCAGGTTGCAGTGTTCTGCTGTTCCGCTCTTGCCTTTTGACTAAAAAACCGATTGAATTAAGAAAGGTCTGAGGAAATCTTGTCCCTTTTGGTGGAACAGAAGGTCCAGGAGGAGGAAGATCTTGCGACTTGTCCCGTTATTATCTAGTACTTTATTTTAAGGCAAAATAGTGTTGTGACTCCCCAAGAAAGCAGCTTGCTATCTTTTAGGATCCATTGTCTTTAAAAGTAAAATAGGACTTTTGACAAGTTGGAAGAGAGCAGATAATACCAAGTTTATGAAATGGGAGAGCCTTGGATTTTTCCCCGGTTGCCAGAAGCCATGAACTTTTAAAGTTGTATCTAATCCATGTTAGAACCGGTCTGTGTCCAAGTTATATCAGTGGAAGGAAAAGTAGGGTTTTTTCCCCACTGATTTAGTTAAGTCTGTGCAGGATTGCCTCTTTGACTTATGCTTGCCAGCATGAGTGTGAAAATTTACAGCTACAAGAACCACTTATAAATCACTGTATGGTAGGAAATCCCTGAAAAAAAGACTTGAGGTATCTGGACTGAGTTACGTTTACAGCAGTGCAACTTCTGTATGGAGACAAGTCCTTATGATTCCCATGGTGCTGCTTTCACTCTCCAGCTCCTGTCACATCCTGCACTGATTTCAGAGTAAGAGCAAACAGGAGCTATCAAACATTTACTTATTTCTAATTATGACAAAACCAATGTCAAAACATAAACAGTGGACCACCAGGACAGATACTGATGTTTTCCATCTAAGACTGAACGTAATTTGAATCTTTTCATTGGTTTTAGCAGTAGCTCACAGTGTTAAGTTAGAAACTTGATAGGCCTGAGTGGCGGAGAGCATCATCCCTTTTTAACTGCTCTGCTCTACGCTGCTGCCTCCATACTGCAGCAATGCTTTGTCTTGGCTGAAGCCAGCTGGCATTATCATGCCGTTAATATTGGCTAATGATAGCTAATTTTCAAGTGGCAACCAGTACTCCCACGTAAAAGAGGGTTCCTTTTTCCTCTCTGCTTACAGTGAGAGATGCTCCTAGCAGAAAGATTTTATTCAGGCTAGCTAGGCTGATGAGGAGTCAGGAAAGACATCAAGCACTCTGACTGATGGGCTTCCTTCTCCCACCATACCTCATCCACTCAGGGATTTGCAGGAGAAAAATCTTCAGGTGAAGAGGTGTCACACTACACTGGATGTTGAGCCTGAGCTTAGGTCCTTTCTACCTCTGGAAGGGAAATACCCATCAGGAAAACTGGTAATGTGGAGAGTACAACTGGCACAGTGGAGCGAGAGCTGGGAAGAGCATTTGAGTTGAACGGGGGTGATATGCTGTGACTGGAGAGCAGCATGAGCTTCTGTATCTATGAAGTGTAAAATACCTGCTGGTGGAGATATTAAACGTACCGCTGTAATAAAAGCCTGTGAACTGTATTTTACACAGTTCACATGTCAGGCACAACACACCAGTGAGACATACACGTCAAAGATTTATGAACAGGCAGGCAGACACCTAGTGCACGTGAGCTAACTTTAAATCAATTGGGCAAAGCTTACTGAACACTTATCTGTGCTCTTGCAGCACAGGAAGATTACTCATGGTATGGATTATCAACAGCGTCACACATTGCCATGACCTGATTTTGTTTAAGCTTCCATGATACAGATACCTGGAGTGGAATAGTAAGTACAAACACATAAACAAAATTCACAAATCATTTAAGCATTCTGTTGTTGGCTAATTATACAATTTCTGTCACAGTTTGAGCTATTGTAAATCAGGATTATTCACTGTTCATAATGACCTTTTCCTTACTTCATCCTCCCGTAAATCAGCTTGATGTGTACGATGGAGACTTCTGCAGTGGAATGTTACGTAGGACAAGTCTCAGAAAATGAGCAGGAGTGTCCTTCACCCTGGTGTCTCCTTTTGCTCCTCCGCAGTTAGGCTTGTACCTTGTGCGAGCAGTGCTGTGCCTTCTCTTTTTCTCTGAGGCTTCCTATGCCAGATGTAACTGGCTGGCCCGATTTGTGACTCACTGCGTCTGATCCTTGTAGCATAAGGGATACCGTAGCTTGGTAAGGCCAGGGGTTGATCAGGTGACTAAGAAAATTCAAGACACTTGCCCCAGAGAATTCAAGAATTTAAAACTAATAAAGTTGTTTCAGTACTACAGTAAGTACATTTAAAAAGAAAAGTGAGGCAATGCAGGCGCTCAGTAAACAAAACATATAGGTGAGTACTAGTAAATCTACTTCTTGTAAACTTGAGAGAATGAAGTCAGGGTGTGTAAGTCCTAAATTCCATGTTCCTAAGAATCACAGTCGTCCACCTATTGTTACCTTTCAAAGACTAAGGGTCCTCTGATACCTCTGACTTCTGACACAGTCTCAGGTAGTACCATTTCCTCTAATCCTCTTTCCACTTGGCGTTACTTAGGCTAATTTTCATTAATATGCTTTGAAGTTCCTTAAGACTTGCTAATACTGTAGAGCAACCTAGTCCCTACTACCAGACTATGGGCTGAAGGTGAGCTACCCTGGAAGACCCGCTGCTAAAGGAGACCCAGTGGAAGACATTTGCTAATTGCGCATAGCTGCGCTGTCATTCCCCTGCCACTGTGCACATTCTGGGGACACGGTCTGACACATCCGATGCATGTATGCTCTCACACAATTACTTAAGGCACTGGAGGGGTATGCTGAAGAAAGGGTTTAATTGGTGGTAAGACTTGGGACACAGGAAATCTGGGTAGGTGGTCGTGTCTCCTACATGTCCGACATTTGGAAACCTGAAGCCACTGGCTCGGACATCGCCAAAACATTGAAATAATAAAGAAGTGGAACCAAACTCTCAGCTGAAAAACTGGAAGGAGAAATCCTCTTCTTTGGAGACAGTGGGTGTTCCGCTATTAGTGTTAGAAGGGCTTGATTTCACCCGAAAGAGCTGAGCAAGATCCTTAGCAGGAGATTTAGACACTAAGCCACCAGCTAAGATCCAGGCTGCCAAGTTTTATTCTCATCTTCACAGAGTCAGCAGTCTTTTAGAAAAAGTTCTGTAGAAGATTCTTTTTTTAGCCCTGGTTACAGCAAAATGACCCAAGTTATTTTGAATTTTTATATTTATGAAGAGAGGCTATAAGGTTAGCTGAAAATTGAATGCTTCAAAGTAACAAAGACTTCTAGAATTTTTTTAAAGGCTTTTCAGTGCATGATGTAGAACGCACCCAAATCCATCTGTCTGCATGTGGAAGCGAGCTGCAGTTTGCTTGAACACCCTTTCAAATGCTGCAGGTTGGGACCACACAGCTGTGCCTTTCTCATGAATGCACCTAATCTTTTCAATATTCTAATCACCGGGATAAAAGTCTCTTTGAACTGCATATCAGCTTATCGATTGTGCTGAACCAAAACATGCACATTTAATATTGTTCTCCATGTGTATAGCAGCTCCAGTTCTGTGATTTCTAAACTGGAAAATCTGTACCAAAACTATTAACACTTGTTGTGTGAGGATGTTAAACAGAAATATGTATGCCCATGCATAAATATATGCACACACAAGAAATGCAGGGTGAGTCTGCCATTTCATATTAAACTTCTCAGGTGAGATGGATATTGCAAAAATAATCACAAAATATATATGCAAATACCTAATCACATGATAGTCTCAGATACTGCATTAGACAATAGATAAATCATGGTAAGTTTCTTGTGAAACATTGTGGACGCATACATCATCATAGTGCAGAATTTGTAAGGAAAAATCTGCGGTAATTCTACTTTACTTAGCTGAGTAGACTGAACTAGAGTTACTAGATACCTTGGCCAAGATATGGCGGTAAATCTGGTGAGGTAATTTAACACTGAATTAACTACACTATACTAAATAAATTAAGATAATGCAGGTAAGATGGCAGTCTTAGTGTTTACCTTCTGTGATTCTATAAAATTGTGGCCATAAACAAGGGTTCAAATTATTATTGTGTCTTCTAAGGAAGTGCATAGAGTATTGGTGTTGTTCCAAAAGGTAATCAGTGCCCTGAAATTCTTCTACACGAAAGAGAAGAGTGAGAACGGGTTGGCCAGTGCATGAAGTTGGAGCAATGAGCTCAGAGGCAATGGAAGAACCAAACATACTTTTTCTGACTTACAGTGCGCTTCATTCATTAAATCAAATTGTTGCTCATATGAAGGCCCCCATTCAGTAAAGCTGTTGGGAGTAACCTTGTCTTTGAAGTCAG